AAGAAACCTCCAGCAGAACCAGGCTCAGTGTGAGCGGCCATCTGCCGAGGCCGACTGGGGTTCAAGGAGACAGAAGCAAACATACAGAAGGATGCAGAGATCAAAAGGCAACCCTATATAGGAAATACATAGCCAGGCAGACGAGATCTATTTAGAATAGAATAGAAAATCCTTTTATTATCCCACTATGGGCGAATTCTGGTGTTGACAGCAGCAAAATGATTATAGAAAAAAAACTGTCACACAAATGTGGACCTTAGAAAAATGTATAAGAATAACATAATAGTGAAAATACAGTACCGTAACATACAGCATTTTATTGCTCTATTGTAAAGCATGTACTGGTGAAGAACTCGATTTTCCAGATGTTCTGGACTAGACATTTTGGATTATTTCCAAGAAAGCAAAACAATTTAAAGCTCCACAGAGAAGCAGTTACTTATTCCTCTTCTAAACAGTGACAGACAACATCCATCAATCCACACACTTATGTACAGACATTGTTCCTCTAAGTGATCATTTCATCCCCTGCAATCTGATTAAAATGATATAAGATCCATTAAATGATGCATAATAGAGGAAGTGGAAACATAAATAGTTTAATCAGGTGAAACTGATTACATGTGTTTACATGGATTTGTTGTTTGGTTTCCTTTTAATGTTGCTTTTACATATTTTCTAGAAATTAGCTTCAAAGATATATTAATTAAATAGAATTATGCAATCTTTAACCCCATTACCTTCATACATTAAGATGCTTCTTTAATCCAAAATGTCTTGATTTCAGTTTACTTATTTTCTTGACTATAATGTATGACTAATAAAAAGACTTTGCCTGAGACTCATTTCATAAAACATCTCCGTTGCTGTAATAAGCTAGAAGCGCAGGTGGTGTTTGGCTTTCTGCAGGCGAGGTGCGAATGCCGTCGGGTCAAACAGCTCGTCCTAACATCGCTGACAACAAGGACGGGACGGTGACGGTAAAATACTCGCCGACTGAACGAGGACTGCACGAGATGGACATCAAATATGACGGGAACCACATCCCAGGTAACTGCTCTGTTCGTTATAAACACATCATCTGCAAACATGATGAGTTCAGGGGGAATCTGACACTTCTGATGCTTCCATGCTGGATGATCCATGGTCCTAATGATCCTTGGTCTTTAGACCTTCTCAGGTCGGTTCAAACGTCAGCCGATCCAGATGTTCCTGTTCTTCTAAATAGTCTCCACTTCTCTCACGGGATCCTTAGGAAGTTCAAATCCAAAAGTCCCTCAGTTCTGGGTCCCCTCCCTGTGTTTGCAGATCATCCAAAGGGAAGCTGAAGAGTTTAGATATCAGTCTCAGCAGAGACATTTAAACATGGAGAATCAGGAGCTCTACTCCAAGCTCTTGTAGATAGCAGAGCTCTACACCACCTCTCTGAGGAAACGTGGTTAAACGTGTCCACCCTGAGTCCTCCATCACTTCATCACACCAGAAAGAGTCAGTTTGTTTATGTCAGCACATGTAGACCGCCACATGTAGCTTCCTGAGGCTCCAACTGGGACTTCTGTCCAAGCCCTTTTCTGGTCGATGTTTGGCTGCTAAGATCACTGGCCTGATCTTTCACCAAATCAAAGGCTGTGTCTTTCTGCGTCTTCAAGACCAAGTGAGGCTTCATTCTGGTCTCCTCCAAAGCTCCTCTAGGTGCTCTGCAGGTCATGGATTGGAGGAAGTCAGGTTTGGGAGCTTCAGGCTTCGGGTTTTGTTGAGGTTGCTCCGAAGTAAGGGAAAGATGGAGCAGGACACGGCAGAGCCGATTTAAAAGGCTCCAAATCTTCATTGATTCTTAGTAATCCCCTTTAACTGTGTGTGTTTCAGGAAGCCCACTCCAGTTCTATGTGGATGCTATCAACAGTGGTCATGTGACTGCGTACGGCCCTGGTCTGAGCCATGGCACGGTGGACAAACCCGCCACCTTCACCATCGTCACCAAAGATGCAGGAGAAGGTAACATTCTGACTGGACTGAATTTGATTTAATAATAAGGATAATCACAATAATCGAATAATTAAACTTTATTGATCTCACACTGGCAAAATTTACCTCTGCATTTAACCCATGCCCTTGGGGAGCAGGGGGCTGCCATCTTGGGTCGCCCGGGGAGCAGTTTGGAGTTAAAGGTCTTGCTCAGAGACCTAGAGTGGCAGCCTGTGGGAGTGGGGCTCGAACTCAGAACCTCTGGATTCCAAGCTCTATGCCCTAACCACTACGCTGCCACTCCCAGACGATCAATTCCAAAGACTGCCAAAACCCAGGAGTTTCACCCTGCTTTGTTTCAACAGCTGAAGGTGGAGTTTCACGGGGTTTTCTCTCTCTGCAGGGGGCTTGTCTCTAGCTGTTGAAGGTCCATCCAAGGCTGAGATTAGCTGCACTGACAACAAAGATGGGACCTGCACGGTGTCCTACCTGCCCACCGCAGCCGGAGACTACAGCATCATTGTCAGATTTGATGATGAAAACATTTCTGGCAGCCCGTTCATGGCAAAGATCACCGGTATGGAAACTCCACCAAGATACAGTATCTCTAAAACAGACCTATCCTGAAAATACCCAGAAAATATAGAAAATGTACTTGGACTTATTTATCAGCTGCAAGGATTTAAAGATTCTTCTTTCCCTAATCAAACAAATCCATCCATCCATCCATCCATCCATCCATCCATCCATCCATCCATCCATCCATCCATCCATCCATCCTCCCTCTTCCGCTTACCTGGGGTTGGGTTGCGGGGGTAGCAGCTTCAGTAGGGAGGCCCAAACGTTCCTCTCCCCAGCCACTTGGACCAACTCCTCCGGGGGAATCCCAAGGCGCTCCCAGGCCAGCCAAGAAACATAGTCCCTCCAGTGTGTCCTGGATCTCCCCCTGGGCCTCCTCCTGGTGGGACGTGCCTGGAACACCTCTCCAGAAAGACTTCCAGGAGGCGTCCTAACAAGATGCACGAGCCACCTCAACTGGTTCCTCTCGACGTGGAGGAGCAGAGACTCTACTCTGAGTCCTCCCCGGATCTCTAAGCGAGAGCCCAGACATACTAGGAAACTCATTTCAGTCGCTTGTATCCAGGATCTCGTTCTTTCGGTCATGACCCAAAGCTCATGACCATAGATAAGGATAGGAACGTAGATTGACCGGTAAATCGAGAGCTTTGCTTTTTGGCTCAGCTCTCTCTTCACCACAACAGACCGGTACAGCGCCCGCTTCACAGCAGACGCCGCACCAATCTGTCTATTGATCTCCTACTCCATCATAAACAAGAACCCAAGATACTTAAACTCCTCCACTAGGGGCAGTACATCCTCCCCAACCCGGAGAAGGCATTCTACCATTTTCCGCCTCAAGACCATGGTCTCGAATTTTGAAGAACTGCTCCTTATCCCACCCGCTTCACACTCGGCTGCAACCCGCTCTAGTGAGAGCTGTAGATCACTTAATGAAGCCAATAGAACCACTTCATCTGCGAATAACAGAGACGCAATCCTAAGGCCACCAAACAAATCATGTGGCCCAAAGCCTGATTAAAGCTTGCATGTCTCCTGTCCAGGTGATGACTCCATGAGGACCTCACAGCTCAACGTTGGGACTGCATCAGACGTTTCCCTAAAGATCACAGAGACGGACCTGGGCAGTCTGATGGCCACCATCAGAGCTCCTTCAGGTCATGAAGAACCGTGTCTTCTAAAGAGGCTCCCCAACAGACACATTGGTATGTTTTGATTTGGACTTTCTCTCCGTGTATGTTTGGATTATTTAAGTATTTCTGATTCTGATGGATAATTATCAAATATATAAAATGACATTCATGGGTACTTGTTCGTGGCATTAAAAAAATTTCTAAGAGCATTAAAAAGCATTAAATTAGAGTTACTCATTCCTGTATAAACCCTGTAGAAATACATCTTCCATCCTCACTGCAGAGGAAATCCCTCCCCAGATGTGAGGACTAGTGTTGCGCCGATGCCATTTTTTGGCCCCGATACCGATACCCGATACCTGGCTGTGCAGTATCGTCCGATACCATAATAATGTAAAATATAGTTGCAATCATTGCTTTGTCAAGCTGCTGCCTACCTTTGTGAAGCAGGAACAAATCTAATACAAATTGAATCCAGTAGAACTTTTTATTGCCTACCTGGAATGGGCGACAATAGTTGAATAAACTTATGGCTCTCAAAATGGTATCGGTGCCCTATTTGTTGGTACTCGCTGATACCGATACCATCATTTTAGGGCAGTATCGGGGCCCCGTCCAGTACTGGTATCGGTATCGGTGCAACACTAGTGAAGACAATATCCGTTTCTTAATTCATAAGAACGCAAGTATGAACTCGTGTCCTCACCAAGTATATTCTTAAGAAAAACACAGGAAAGTGTGGAAAGTTATTTCTATTGAACAACGGCAACAGAAAAGATTTAACTTAATACTCTGAGCTCTGTGAGCGCTCCATTGAAAGCTGCTGCTGCAGTGCATGCTGGGACAGCTGTCAATCTCAAGAACGGAGTGTCTGCTGTGATGCATGCTCGGTAAAGAGGGAGGGGCGAGAACAACATCCGGGGACTTTGTCCGTTCTCTGTCTTCTTTTTCTTGTGAAATGAAACAGTACTAGGGCTGAGGCTGATGACGTTTCATATATCTGTATCTGTAGTATCTGAGAACGCACAAGTTCACAGATTGAGAAACGGCCAATGTGATCTGGACAAAAAAAGGAATTTGAAAAGAGTAGAATTCATAGAGCTTTTTTTTGAAAAACGGAAATTTGAAATAGAAAATCTGCTAAAGCAATTTTGAAAAAATATATATATTAACAGAATCTGAGAAAACAGCAAAGTTACTCTTGAAAGCTCTTTTAAAATAAAAAGTTTAAAAGATATGTGGAGGATTTTTAAACTTACTTTCCAAAAGATTTGCATTTTTTTCCACCATGTCAGACTCACCACCGGTAAGTGATAATTACTTACTCTACTTATTATAAATACTCATTATTTACACAATTCAAACGATAGAATCAATTATTGATGTAAAACAAGTGTTAGAAAGCACTATTAAGGTAAAAAAGTGTGTCAGCTAAAAATCATAGGGCAAAGAAATTACAAAGTAAGAGTAAAGCAGACAAGAATATTATAACATGCACATAAATAAATACTCAAATAAACAAGGTATTTATAATAAAGGTGAAAAAGATATATACATTTATGTTTCACTGTAGAATTTCATTTCTATCAACATTTATTTGTGTATTGTATTTTTGGGAGATTAATTGTATGCTTATTTATTTACTGAGCATTTATTTATTTCTGTATTTACTTTTAAATATGGTAGATCTGGTCCTCCATATCTGTGTGGCTGTGTGGAAGTGAAACTCCAGCCTTATTCTGGTTTTAAAGGGGTCATAGAATGATTCTATAGAGTATCTGGTCCTTAAGGTCTCTAATAGGGTGTGTAACATTGGTTGGGCTGAAAATGGCATATTTGCTGTTCTATGAGCCCTAATGCAGTCTGGTTAAAAGCCCTAGACTGAAACGACAGGAATATTTAGAGGAGCTGTGCTCTGATTGGTTGGTTTACAACGAGCGAAGCTGCTGAGCAAAGACGCATCATAGCAACAAGCACTCACTCACTGAAACATCAAGGTTGTTGATACAGTAGGGTGACCAGACGTCCTGTTTTTCCCCCCAGACATTTTCATACCTTAAGAAATGTCCGGGGGGGGGGGTTCAAAATCATCCGGGATTTTGGACAACTACAATGCAGCAGAACCGAGCTGCCCGTTCCGAGGCTGGTCGGACTTGGGGCTTTGTTTGAATTCGCCCGTTTTATGGTGGAAATATAGAATAGTTAGATTTGCAGAGAAAGGAGGTGTTGATGGGGTTTGGACTTCTCTGTACATCCATTTCACTCACTGAACTATCGTTATTCATCTATGACAATGGAAACTCGGTTTTGCATTCTATGACCCCTTTGCACTTACACAGAGTGAAAATGGGGGACGAGCACTTAGGACGGACTCGCGTAATGATATCACCAGAATGATTGACAGTTAGGAGGACCACTTCTTTTAATGATCCACCCAGAAAAACACCATCCTCCACTATACCTTCAAATCTTTCTTTTATTATTTCTAATTACAAAATGTGTTCTCTGTTTGCAACAATATTGGAACAAAATTCACTCCATACAACCCAAATCCCCTTCTGTGTCTGATTTTAGGGGGATATCTCTGACAGAAACCTTTTACAGGTGTTTCACCATGTGACCAGGACATAAATGGTTGATGTCTGATCATCTATTGTTGCAGGAATCTCCTTCACTCCAAAGGAAGTTGGTGAACATGTTGTGAGTGTGAAGAAAAGTGGGACACATGTGACCAACAGTCCCTTTAAGATCATGGTGGGTCAGTCTGAGATTGGAGATGCCAGCAGGGTGAAGGTTTACGGTCAGGGGCTGGTGGAGGGGCACACCTTTGAGGTTGCTGAGTTCATCGTGGACACCAGGAATGCAGGTAAGAACCCAAACCACCTATGCAGAGTCAGATCCGGGGTCTCAGTCTCACCCTCTTGTTTTGTGTCTGGAAGGTTACGGTGGTCTGGGTCTGTCCATCGAGGGCCCCAGCAAAGTGGACATTAACTGTGAGGATGTGGAGGATGGGACCTGTAAGGTGACCTACTGCCCCACTGAACCTGGAAACTACATCATAAACATCAAGTTTGCTGACCAACATGTTCCAGGTACAAACCGGTTCCTCCTCCTCAGGACTGCTGGAAATAGATTAGTTGGTTTAACCAAAAGATTGGTTGAACACATAACTTCCAGCCCAGTTACAACCAAAAAAAAAACATTTATGTTTGAATAAAAATGACCCTTGCAAACCTTTCCTTTTTGCTCGTCTTTGCCCAATTTGCACAAACACTTTTAATATCTGCTTGAGCTTATTTCAATAAAATGGCAGAAAAACTATGAACCTTAAATTAGACATTTTACACACAAATTTTTTTTTTAAAGATTTTATTATACAGACCAACCATTAACAATTTCAAAGGAACTTAAATTAGTCCAGTGGATTGTTTTTTAACTTTTTTGGAATCTCTTAGCTGCTGCATTTAGTCAAAGCAACAGTGCCCCCTGCAGGCAGACACAAAAACTAAATGTTACAGAATTGATGTCTCTATTTGGTTTAATCTCTTTTCTGTAATGTTTGCAAACAGGAAGTCCATTTACCGTCAAAATATTCGGCGAAGGCCGGATGAAGGAGAGCATCACCAGGAAGCGCCAGGCCCCATCCATTGCCACAGTCGGCAGCACCTGCGACCTCAACCTGAAGATACCAGGTGAGAAGTGTCTTCAGGTTCTCCTTCGCTTCTCTTCCTCCATTCGTCCTGTTTCCTGCTTCCTCATCTGCATCTGGTTCCTCCTGATCCTCTCCTTCTCTTCCTACCTGTTTGCTTCTCCTCCTGGTCGTAGGAAACTGGTTTCAGATGGTTTCAGCTCAGGAACGTCTGACCCGGACGTTCACCCGCAGCAGCCACACCTACACCCGGACCGAGCGGACCGAGATCAGCAAAACCCGAGCCGGGGAGACCAAAAGAGAAGTCCGGGTGGAGGAGAGCACCCAGGTCGGAGGAGATCCCTTCAGGGATGTGTTTGGAGATTTTCTGGGACGAGAGAGTCTGAGCGGTTTCAGTGGGATGCCGGCGGGAAGCCGACCGCCACTGCAGGACGGTGTGTGTTCTGGAAGCTTCTCACCCTTTCTGCTGCTGCTGGGGCTCAGCTGTTAAATTATCCACTGTCAGAAATCTGTTCTCATGTTTTTATTTAACTTAAAGCATCACTTTGTGACCTTTGACCTCAGTGTCAGCTTAAAATCAGATCCATCCAGTGATCCTTCAGCTCAGTGCTGTAACGTACAATTGGCCCCTAAGCAACATTATCTGGGTGTTCTTTTGGTCGCAATCTTTACTCACTGGACTGGTAGTAGCAGCAACGTCCACCTCTGCCTCTTCGGTTCTTTCTTTTCTGGAATCCGCTTAAGTATCTCTTTTTGGTATCCGTTGTCGCTAACACATTGTACGTAACGGTTATGGTTTAATCTACGTTCTGCTTTTAGTCTAACGTGATGTGACGTCTTGCACGCTGCACGAACGTTACATACGTAATATGTTCAGTCAGTTCATCATAACTCATAATTCCAAGTTGTAGTGTAAAAAATAAAATACTCAAATACATAATTCTTTTAAGATCTTTATTGCGGTTTGAAACATATTATATGAGTATATTTTTTACCAGCCGTCTAATGAACTATACACAGTTATTGACATAGTAATTAAAAGTACCACTGTACCACTGAAGCCTTTATTTAGCCAAATTACACAGAACTTCAGAGACATGCAGGAACATTCAGGTTCTTCTCAAAAGATCTGGATCAAAAATGATTTCTTATGTTTCTCACTCAGTAGCAGATATTTCTCTATATAGCTTGGATGCTTTAACTTGATGTGTCGCTTTAAATTTGAAGTGGACGTGGTTGATGTACGAACTTGTGAAGTGGACATGTTAAGTCTCAATTCAGAGGGGCCCCTCTGAATTGACATTATCCAGTGTTATTAATTAAACGCGAATGTGAGATGTCTGTGTTGCTTATTATTCTTAGAGTGAACATCACTCTCGTTCATGTTCATTACTCTAAAACTGATCCATTCACTAAAAAATATGAATATATTCAGTGAACGCCGTTCATTGGACACATTCATGCACAACACTGCTGGTACCAGAACCAGAAGCTCACTGGTTTGTCTTTAAACAAAGCAGTGTGGACCACTGATTTCTATTTATTCACTGGATTACTGATTGCCTGTTGGTAGTACATGGTTGAAGTGAAGCCACCGGCTGCCATATTGGTACTCCCTAGTTAGACCGGTCGCAATGTAAACAATCTGTGTGCTATGGCATTGAACAACGATGATGTTCTCATTTTCAGGGGGACTTAATACTTTTAAAATAAAGATAAATTCATTACTTTGACAATCCTACTGTTTCATAGCATCAGTAGATTACTTTAACTTATGGTAAAAAATAGGCACATCACATTGCATAGTCATTATGAAGTTTATAAATCATGCAATATAACATATTATACAAATCAATCACACTAAAATCAATTTGTTAATGGAGCATAATAATACAGGTGTGCCAAATGTGCTAAATAGATGTAGTTTCAAAAAAACAAAGGGGACCAAGCACTGAGCACTGAGAGACTCCTGCCTGTTGGCTCGGCAGCACAAAAACAAAAAAAAACGTTCCAAGAACTTCATCGAAGGTTCCCCAAACCTGCAACGAAGCAGCAGAAGATTTCTAGTTTGTCTCTGAGTTTCTCTGGTTAGTAAACCGATCTTTTATCTCCTCCCTCCCTCAGGTGAGGCCGGTAACCAGGAGATGACGGCTCAGGTGACGAGTCCCGGAGGGAAGATGGAGGACGCAGAGATCATCAAAGGGGAGGACAGCACCTACAGTGTCCGCTTTGTCCCCCAGGAAATGGGACCTCACACTGTCAATGTTAAATACCGGGGCCAACATGTGCCGGGGAGCCCCTTCCAGTTTACTGTGGGGCCCCTGGGTGAGGGAGGGGCCCATAAGGTCCGAGCAGGAGGAACCGGGCTGGACCGTGGAGTGGCAGGGCTGCCCGGTAGGCTGGACAGAGATTTTTACTTTTTCTCTCTTATCTTGAAGATCACTTTTCTGAAACCTAAAGGTCCCTTTTCTAACTTCCTGGCTGCTTTCTGACGGTCACCGAGGATTTTTCTGGGAAGTCCTAAGACTTACAGTTCCCTCACCTTCCAGGTTACCAAATGAACCTAAAGTGTTTTAGGTTTCCCCCCGAGATTTATTCAGATCGTAACGTTGCTAACTCAAAATGCGTCATTAGGGGACAGAGATAAGAAAACTTCAAAAACATGAGAGGCAACCCAATTATAACAAATACAGACTATTTAAGGAAAAGTCCGGTCAGCAAGGAATAACCAATGGATCATTATTATTACCTAAAACTAAAACATTCGCTATGATTTAATGAATTTAGTGTTAATCAGTAAAAAAAAAAAAATTATAATTTTCATTGCGATCACTGAGTCTGGGAGCGGCCATTTTTGCCCAAATATAGTAACCCCTCCCTCCTGCCATCTTCCAGCAGTGACGTCACAGTGCGGTAAGCCTAGCGCCATTCTCCCCGCTTTACAAGAAAAATCAATGGGAACTACTAGACACATCTGCAATCAACAACAATTATTGAAGATTTCCAGAGGACTTCACCATTGAAATTCACCAGAGCTATAGTGAAACTGACAATGCCCACGTGCATGGCAGCTGGATGCTGGAATACATCAGAGAAAAGTGAAAAAAAAAGAGTAATTTCACCTTTCTGATTCATGATTCTCCAAGGACTGGATCATCGTTGGATCGCCAACTTGAAGAGGGAGGATTTGCCATCGAACTTCTGGCCAGAGAAAAAACCCGTAATATGTAGCCAACATTTGGAAGAAGAATGTTTTCAAGATGACTTGGATAATAGCGCGTTGTGACAAACACCAGATACAGCACTGGGACTTGATCAACAGCCGATACCGCACCGTGACGTCACAAACCAGTAGGTGGCAGTAGTGTTCTTTGACAAACATGGATGCCTCCAGTAAAGCACATTCAAATGAAAATTACTCTTAATTAAAACTTTTATGATTTATTAAACAGTATGTAATAATTTCATAATTAAACTACTTTCAGAAGTTTGAATTCTGAATATGGCCGGACTTCTTCTTTAAGAAAGGACTTGATGGTACCGGCCAGTCCTGCAAACTACCCCCCACCACCACAGTTGCGTAAAAATATAACTTGAGGAAAGTTCTGGAAAAGTAGCCTCTAGGTTCCAGAAAGAAATCTGAAGGCATCAGAAGGTGTCCTTAAGATCTGCTTTAAAATCCTGTGGATTCTGGTGAAGTGCGGACTGTACCATGTGCTGATATCTAGTGTTTCCCTGCAGCTGAGTTCAGTATTTGGACCAGAGAGGCTGGAGCTGGAGGTCTGTCGATTGCTGTGGAAGGACCCAGCAAAGCTGAGATCTCCTTTGAGGACCGGAAGGACGGTTCCTGTGGAGTCTCCTACGTGGTCCAGGAGCCTGGTAAGATCTAAACACAGATTTACCGTCTGTAGTTCAGCTCTGTCACAATCTGCTGTATGTTTTTAAATACATAATTTATGGTAGAAGCAGCTTAGAGAGAGCAGATCCTTCAGGAACCGTGCAAGAACACTGAATGAAGTTCTGTTTGAAACCCACAGGTGATTATGAGGTTTCCATCAAGTTTAACGATGAACACATCCCAGACTCTCCTTTCATTGTCCCTGTGGCTAGCCTGTCAGATGACGCCCGCCACCTCACCATCACCAGCCTGCAGGTGAGGAGATCCGAGTCCTCGTGGAAGCAGACGTCTATCTTCTCAGTCTGGATAGATCGCAGTAACATATTTTCTTTATCAGGAGATGGGGCTGAAGGTGGGTCAGGAGGCCTCCTTTGCTGTCCAGCTGAATGGAGCCAGAGGCCTCATAGATGCTAAGATCCACTCACCATTGGGGGCCACAGAGGAATGCTGCATCACTGAGCTGGACAGCGGTAAGACCCGACAGCTCCGAGCAGAACCCAGAGCATCAGGAAGAATAACTGGATTTCAGTCTGCCATAACTTCTCATAAACTTTCTTTGTTTTCCAGCAGATCGGCACGCCATCAGGTTCATCCCCAAGGAGAACGGCGTTCACTCTATAGACGTTCGCTTCAACGGCAGCCATGTACCCGGCAGTCCATTCAAGATCCGCGTGGGAGAACCGGGGCAGGTTGGAGATCCAGGGCTTGTGTCTGCCTTTGGGCCAGGACTGGAAGGAGGAACCACAGGTACAAACAGCGTTCAGGTTTTCTGCTTTAACCATCAGGAGATTTAAAGACCATTTGATGATCCCATGTGTGTTTGTTCAGGCGTGGCGTCAGAGTTTATGGTCAACACCTGTAATGCCGGAGCTGGAGCTCTATCTGTGACCATCGATGGACCATCAAAGGTGAAGATGGACTGCCAGGAGTGTCCTGAGGGCTACAAAGTCTCTTACACCCCTATGGCTCCAGGGAGCTACCTGATCTCCATCAAGTACGGAGGACCACAGCACATTGTAGGCAGCCCCTTCAAAGCCAAAGTGTCAGGTGGGTCAGTGTTCTGGGCTCAGAGGTGGTGCTGATCAGAAATTGGTTCAAAATGGTTCTCTTCTTGGAGGAACTCCCTGGTTCAGGGTATCACCGCCTCCTGGACTGGACAGAAGCCTGATGTTATACTTTCTGTTGCTTCAGACTGAAGATAATGGCGTTCCTCAGGGCATGTCCACCCCATTACTGTGTTCTTCTATGTTACCACATTACCCCCAGAACACGGGTTCTGGAAAGCCACACTCTGAATAGGCAGAATAGAACTACCAAACTCACCTGCTCTAACCTGCTGAATGTTTGTCAAATATGACCAGAGAGCTCCAGCTCTTCAAGATGCCATCATCTATCAAACTAGGAAAACAAAAGCAAAAAACCACACAAACACTGCGAAGTAGGGCTGTATGATTTTGGAAAATGACTTGCTACTTAAGGGCTGAACTTGCCCTACCCACTACTTGGTTTGGGACGGTGCTTGATGTGGCTGACCCTCCGCGGGAACGCGCACATGGAGGGTTAGTGCTCAGGGTTAGTGTTTAGGGGCCGGTTTGGGATTGGGCCATAGAAACTGGAACTACTAACAGGAAGTAGGAACTGGAACCAGGAACAGGAAGTAGGAACTGAGGCTAGGAACAGAAGATAGGAACTGAAGCTATGAACAGGAAGTAGGTACTGGAGCAATGAACAGGAAGTAGGAACTGGAGCCAGGAACAGGAAATAGAACTGAGGCAAGAAACAGAACATAGGAACTGGAGCTATGAACAGGAAGTAGGAACTGGAGCTAGGAACAGGAAGTAGGAACTGAGGCTAGGAAAATGAGGTAGGAACTGGAGCTAGGAACAGGAAGTAGGAACTGGAGCTGTGAACAGGAAGTAGTAACTGGAAAAGCGAACCGGAAGTAGCAACTGAGGCTAGGGATAGGAAGTAGGAAGTGGACCTAAGAGTAGGAAGTAGGAACTGGAACGAAGAACCTGAAGTAGCAACTGAGGCTAGGAACAGAAAGTAGGAACTGGAGGTTTGAACAGGAAGTAGAAACTGGAACTGGGAACAGGAAGTAGGAACTGGAGCTATGAATAGGAATTAGGAACTGGAACGAAGAACCAAAACTAGGAACTGGAGCTAGGAAGAGGAAGTAGGAACTGGAAGAGGAACCAGAACTATGAACTGGAGCTAGGAAGAGGAAGTAGGAACTGGANGAACTGGAGCTAGGAAGAGGAAGTAGGAACTGGAAGAGGAACCAGAACTATGAACTGGAGCTAGGAAGAGGAAGTAGGAACTGGAGCCAGGAACAAGAAGTAGGAGCTTGAACTGGTAACAGGAGCTAGGAGATACAATTTGATGTATTTGTTTAAAAATATTGAAAGTCTGACCAACCTTTGAGAATAACAGATAGCATTAAAGTGACATGCTTATCGTCTCCCCCTAGTGGTCTGGAGCCCTTTTTTTTATATGTAGCTAGTTTGCAGCTTCCCTTAACTTGTAGTAGTTTCTGCTACTTGAAGTATATTCCCTTTGCACGTGTTTTTAAATGTGTGTTTAGAATTTATTTATTTTCTTTCTCCATTGCATTGCTTTTCCTTTACATGTTTGTGTATTAGTTTCATATTTGCAGCCTCTGGCAGCCGTAACATCACACCCCGCGCTGCTTTGCTTTTAGACTCAAAGTGTTTCCAGCATTAGAATGGATTCAATTCTTCTGCAGTAGGATCTCTGCCATCCTTCAGTGAAAAGCTTTTTCTCTCCCTCCAGGACCACGCCTGTCAGGAGGTCACAATCTCCATGAGACGTCTTCTGTTCTCGTGGAAACCGTCACCAAAACATCAGCGATGGGCGGGGCCTTCGCTTCCTTCCCCAAATTCTCCTCAGACGCCAGTAAAGTCATCTCCCGCGGCGCTGGTCTGTCTAAAGCCTTCATCGGTCAGAAGAACACCTTCACAGTGGACTGCAGCAAAGCAGGTGAGAAACGAGGTGAAGGAAGGAGTCTCCCGATGTTTCCTGGAAACCTCTGATCTTTTCTTTGTGCTGCAGGCACCAACATGTTGATGGTGGGCGTCCACGGGCCAAAGACACCCTGTGAGGAAGTCTACGTCAAACACATGGGCAACAGGATGTACAACGTGACGTACACGGTGAAGGAACAGGGCAGCTACATCCTCATCGTGAAGTGGGGGGATGAGAACATACCAGGAAGTCCTTTCCACGTCACTGTTCCCTAAACAAGCTCAGCTTCATCTCCACACGGTGACTCCTCATCTTCTACGATGCACTGAAGACTTTTCCTCACAGAGGAGGAAACGTTCCTCATGTTTCTCCTGCCCTTACCTGTTCTCCATGGGATGTGACGGCCGTTGCTCCCCTCAAGAACTTCACCCAAACTGCTTGAACAGCTGCTATAGAGATGATCCAGGATGAGAAATCTTCCAACAGACGTTTCCACAAACTTTCGTTTGTTTTGCAGCAGGAACCTTCCTGATTAGGTCCATCTCTGCAGGGTTTGGACCTGATCAGGAACGTTCTGTTGTAAGAATCTTAAAAGGTGAACATCTGAGGCCACATGGGGACGATTTTAAAGGCCTCGAAGCAGAAAATGTGAAGCTATTTTCTATATACTTCAGCTCTATGCAGATCTCTACATCTTCTCTGCATAACTATTGTTTGTATTCAGCAAATCTAGATCTTCTAGGTGCAGAAGACTTTGCAACCATCTTCTAACTGCTGAAGGAAGTCCAAGCAGCTGGAACTCCTCCTCCTTCATTGGGTCTGTGAGGAACATCAGGGGACGATCTCCTCTATGAACATCACATCCTGAGCTCTGCAGACGAAGAGAGATCACAAATGTCATGATCCGGAACCAGGAAGAGAAGACAACAGATTTTCAGCAACAACTCCACGTCTTCTAGAACCTTCTGGATTTCACATGAGGTGTTTGGATTCTGCTGCATCAAACTGTGACGTTTAATTTATTCCCCCTGATTGGCTGTCGGTAGAGGAGACGCGTCTGATCTGTGATCCGCTCCCAGTCTGTGTTTTAATATGACGCATCAGGAGGTTTTATGGAGATTTTTCAGAAACACACTATTAGAAATACTTTTTTTTGTAGTTTTGTATGTATCCAAGCAAATGACTGAAAGCTTGAGTATGGCAAAATTGTGCAGGCATAATAAAACTGTCTTTGAGACGTCCCTCAGTGTCGCTTCGCTCTTTGAGACCTTAAAACGACATTAAGCTGCTTCCTCGCTGTCTTCTTCTTCATCTCCTCCTAAGCAAGCAGCAGTTACCACCTCAGAAAAGCTGCTGCCTTCCTGTCTTTGAACCAAAATGGGTGATAGGTTTCTAAGCATGCTGCCACCAGTGCAGAGCTGACTCCGCTTGGCAGCAGGTGGGTTTGAGTGAGAACGGTTTTATGTAGACTGGGGAGATTAAAATCTCCATCAATGCAAGGGTAACCGATTAAAAATCAGCGAGGTCCGAATAAAGAAAATCACCAACCAGTAAAGGTCCGGAGACATTTTTAATTATAATCTGTTACTTTAAACAGAATTTAACACTGAAATAAAATGAGGTGTTCATGCATCCATGTTACAGAGTTAATATTTAAATAAGAAAATAGAACATTTTTCCATTTTAAAATCTAAATTGTTTTAGAAGTAGAGAAAAAAAATCTTTCAGTTTGGCATATAGACAATTGTCTCCCTTTTTTTTTTTAAATAAAACACCTGAACTGACCGTTTTTCTTTCTTTTTTCTGTCTTAATGTTGGCAGTGGGCTTTATGCTGCCCTGCAAGGCTTTAAACCTGGGTTTAATGGAGACTAAGCCATTCTAAAGCACATATCAAGGAGCTCATTTTGAGCCTGGATCCATATTTATTTTTGATTCTGTTCATGGTGGAGAATCCTGCTTCACAGCAGCAGGTTGAGACAAACATCCTCTAAATGTTCAGGGTCATCTTTGAGCACCATTTCACTTTTCTTTCACCAGTTCACCGCAGTTCTTCCAGCAGTCCACACTTTCTCTGCTCTCTTTTTTTACCGTAATAACAGGTGAAGTGGCAAAAGTGAAATTAGACACTGTCGTTGGACAACATGCGGTAATTTATAAATGTTTTAAATCAGGTTGGGCAGCAGGTGGGTCCAGATCCAGACTGCGGTCCGCCTATCTGGGACCTCTGTCCTACAGGAAGAACAACCAAAACTTGATCCAAGTAATTTTCTTCTATCGTCCTTCTCATGGTTTGGAATTTGTTGAGAAGCTGAAAGTTGACATGAGTCATTTGGGATGTCGTGACAGAAGGCTTCTGACCCAGAAACCTTTGACTTGATGTCCCGTCTTTTGGCTCAGCTGGTTTTGTCTCAAAGTGGAGAACTCTGGAACGGTCCTAGAAGAGCTAGTGAACTTTTAGAATAATCAAACCGTAATCCAGAAATTATGAAAAATTCTCAGTCATGATGGCGTCGACACAGTTGCAGAGAAAGACTGGTGACCCTAATTCTGATTGGTTGGTCAGTCTGTTTGACTCCTTTCCCAGATGCAGAGGCGTCCATTGGCTCCGTTGGGACTCAAACAGAACCTACGATGGCACCAGGACGTTTTGCTCAGACTCAATAGGGATCTACCTTCCCAGCTCTGGTTCCTTTAAAGAAAAAGTCCAGTCATATTCAGAATACAAATTTCTGAAATTAATTTAAATAAAATTCTTACATTCTGTTTAATAAATGATGTTTTTAATAAGAGTAATTTTCATCTGAATGTGCTTTGTCAAAGAACACTACTGCCACCTACTGGTTTGTGACGTCACGGTGCGGTATCGGCTGTTGATCAAGTCCCAGTGCTGTATCTGGTGTTTGTCCCAACACGCTATTATCCAAGACATCTTGAAAACATTCTTCTTCCAAATGTTGGCTACATATTACGTGTTTTTTCTCTGACCAGATGTTCGATGGCAAATCCTCCCTCTTCAAGTTGGCGATCCAACGACCAACCCGTATATGGAGGATCAGGAATCAGAAAGGTGAAATAACTCTTTTTTTCCCCCTTTTACCCGATGTATTCCAGCGTCCAGCTGCCATGCACGTGGATATTGTCAGTTTCACTATAGCTCTGGTGAATTTCAATGGTGAAGACCATTGATTCAAGATTCTGTTCCCGTGGGAACAGAAGACCTCGCCTGTTCAGCCAGGCCAACAATTCCCTTTAATGACCCGCCTTTCAGAGACATAGACAGGTAAACTGCAAAACAAAAAGAAATCTAAACAAATGATTTTTTTCTTGAAATAAGTGCATTTGTTCTTGAATTGAGGAAGTCAATGAAACAAGACATTTAAAATAAGAAAAAAAAGAACAATTGCACTCTTATTTCAAGTGCATATTATCTAATTATCTTATTTTAAGGGTAAAAATACTCATTCCATTGGCAGATCATCTATTTTACCTACGCAAATGAGGGATAAATGCAGTTAATTTAAGAATCTTTTACTTATTTTTAGATCATTTTGCAGTGAATGGGACATTGCTGGCTAACAAAAGAAGCCAAACGACCCTCATTCCAAAGGGGTGGACCCCTTCGTCAGTTTCGCTTTGCATGTTTTCTAAAGGCTTTGTTGGGCTACTGTATAAAACCTCGAACTCAACGCCATTTCTGACATTTTGAATTGGAAAAAGTTTCCTGGATGGGAAGCGGAACGTCTTTAAACCTGGAAACAAAGTTCAGTGGATTGTTTTCACTTTCTTAGAATCCAGGGAACGTTTGCTGATGATCTGTTGAGATAAAGGACTGACTGATAAAGGACATCACCTCTGTCAGAAGCTCTATTGGAGAACCTGAGCTCAGCTCCCAAACCACCAACCTCTGAGTGTTATGGTCGGGTCGGACCAGCAGGGGGCAGCAGAGACAAGTCAAACTGCAAGGAGACAGTTCAGGTTTGAGAAAATGGGACAAGCTTCAGTTTGAAGGAAGCCTGGAAACTTTCCAGCAACATTTGTTGGTAAGTTCCTCCATCAGGCCATTAACTGATACAATAAACAACTCTAAGACCCCCCAAAAAAAAAACTTTGTCAGACTTCATGGTTAGATTCATTTAGCAGCGACTGTGCAGAAAGGTGGACTTTAACTTTGGTAGAATCAATGAAAGGACTATGCTGCATACACACTGATCTCAACTATAGATCAACGAGGAAGAAGCTCATGGGCACCTTTCATTATCAGAGGACCACCAGGGGCAGAGCTAGATTGGGGGCCATGGGTGGCCAATGGCACCCTTAGTCAATCATTGGCCACCCCTACCATATTTTCCCCTCTAATACAGATGGTGGCAGCAGTAATACTCTCAAGTGGAATATTGAAAATATTTTTCATATTTTAACAATAACCTGATAACAAAAACACTCTGGTTAATTTTGCACATCAATATACTAACATTAAAGAGTTAAAATACAGAATTCATGCTGTTGACCTGCAAAAAACTGTTATATGGGATAAAGACTCTGCAAGTCATCTAGGAGCCTTCAGTGAAATCATAACTATTTTAATAAAAATGTATTAAATAACCATTTTTGTAGATATAAGTAGCCTACTTGTAAATATCAATTTTATGAAGAATGATTATAATGATATTATGTCATTATACTGAGATACTATCATTATAATGATATCATTATAATTATAATTAGATAGTAACTCGAAATAACGAGATACTATCTCAGTATAATGAGATCATTTATTTATTTATTTATTTATTTTAACAGAGTGGCGGATACGGGCTTCCATACAGAAAGACGCATCTAACCAGTCCACCTTAAATCCGCGCGTATCTGCGTCACGTGACCATGTTCTTGGAAAGTTCCTGGAAACCTGCTCCGTTGTTGTTGTTTATGGAGCTCCGGACCATCGGCTGCTCCACTCGGTGCCAGGCTCACTGAGTCCTGGTTCGGCTGCAGCGGAGCTCCGTGACGGACGGACGGACGGTTCTGATCCAAAGATCCAGCTTCGCGGCCCGCTTCCCCTCACCCCTCCCGCCGTGAGTGATTCTAGGAAACAGCCGGAGCAAAGCAGCGTCCGGACCTGCAGGAGTGGACCCGGTCCCGCGAACATGACGGCGGGTTCGTGGAGCAGGAATCGGAGCCGTTAACGTGCGGCTGGACTCCCCGGCTCGGTAGGTCCAGTTTAATCCCCACATGTCATGATCCGGAACCAGGAGCAGGTCTCCTCAAGGGAGCAGAACCCGTTCCAGCTGCAGGATCTCACCTTCCATCCAGGTTCTCTCCGCTGGAGCAGGAACCAGGAGCTTCCTGCAGAACTCCGCTTAGAATTCCTCTAATTTAACTTTCCCTCCTCGGCCCGAAGCTTCCAGCTGGATTCCCGAACCAACAACACACGCTGCTGTTTGGACCCGACCCACTCATTAATTCTGCTAATTAGAAAAGGGCCAAAATAAAACCCATTAGACACCAGACTGAACCAGCTTCAGATGCAGGCTTTATTATACAACAACTTGATATATATTTCTGAATTTGTTCCTATTTACAAACTGGATCATTCAGAGACACCTGCTGCACCTTTCCATTTATTCGGCTTTAAAGCTTTGCTCCTGTTTCCCTCAGAGCGGGAAATAATAGTCCTTGAATGATGTAATTCAAGTTCCTCCATTTCATAATTAACTGGATTTTATTAAAGCAAACTGGCAGGTTCTGCTTCTCTCTAACAGAACACAGGCCTGTTTCCACTGGGAGTGTTTGCTCCACTCCTCTGGGTAACTGTTCTCAGAAAATGTCCTGTCATTTTTTAACTTTGAGTTGCTACAGGGGCGGATTTAGGAAATTTGGGGCCCTGGGCAAAGACAGGCAGGGGGCCCTCTGAATTGAGAAGACAACATATAGAACAAATCCATTATAGAGATAGAGAAATTTTAATAGAATAGACATACATTATTTGTCTACTTTTTGTCCACAAGCGTAACTTTCTTAAGGATTGGTGTGAAAACTTCCCCACCAATAATTTCAGCTTTTTTCCCCCTTTTCTGCTAATTTTCTTTCACCAACAGGGTTCCCTCGGGTCCTTAAAAAGTCTTAAAAGGCATTGAATTCTTCAAAATAAAACTAAGGCTTTAATTGGTATTAA